TTTATGCGGTTTGGGAAAATTGGTATAATTGGATAGACAATAGAAATAAAAATTGGAAATATACATAAGGTTATTGTGTAAATTAGGTTATTGTGGGTTAGATTGAATGTACATAGTGTATATATTGTATAGAATGTAGATCCATAGTATATAAAAATGACATAGTCTGCTGAATATGTACTGTATTAAAAAAAAAAAACAACAACCTCGGACAGGAAGAAGAGTGCGGCCGGGTGGGCAGGCAGGTGTCTTGCTCGGCTGTGCCTTGGGGGGGCACTTTTTTCAGTGCCATTGTAACTTCGAACAGTCACTAAGTGAACTGTTGTAAGTCGAGGACTACCTATACTTTATCACTTTTTTCCTTTTTTTTTTTTTTTTGGTCATCAAGTTTTTGACACCTTGCTAGGTGACTGGTGGTACTCGGATGTTGCCATATCCTAAAAGTGGTACAATGGGTGAAAAGGTTGAAAAGCCCTGCTCCAGGTCATGGTTGTCCCAAAGGGGCTGTTTTTCAGGAGGCAACTGGAGTTTCTTGTCTTTCTTTCGAAGACATTTCGCTTCTCATCCAAGAAGCTTCTTCAGCTCCACTCCCCACCATCTAGTCAGAGCTGAAGAAGCTTCTTGGATGAGAAGCGAAATGTCTTCAAAAGAAAGGCAAGGAAGTCCAGTTTCCTCCTGAAAAAACAGCTCCTTTGGGTATGATCGATTGGTTATTTATTTATTTGTAAAATTTATTATCTGCTCATCGCCACATGGTGACTCTGGGCAGCTTAATAATTGCTGGTTAGTGTAAAATGTCAAAGTGAGCTTCCAGGTTTAAAGAATCCAATTGTGAGAACTGAGGCTCAAGAACGTTCAATAAAGAAGGGGCGGGGAAGTTCCACATATTTTAAATAGGTCCTGTGTCCATTCTTTCTCCAAGTCTTTCTCTGCTGATTTCTAAGGCAAATGTTCTCAGCCTCTTTAAAGAAAAGTATTATATTTTCCATTGTTAGACTAAAGTACGCACTCCAGTTGAATACACTTTACAGTCCAGGGGTAGTCAACCTTGGCTGGCTCAGGAATTCTGGGAATTGAAGTCCAGGAGTCATAAAAGAACCAAGGTTGACTACCCCTGCTTTACACTGTCATTTATTTAGCCATTGGCCAGTTCAGGTTTGAAATCCCCCAAGTAAATTTTGAAATCTATCTCTAGCCATTCAGAAGTCCACCAGCAAAACAATTTGCCAGCTTTCGAAATGACACTAATTTGGGTGCGGAAAATAGAAACATGGGGAGAAGAGAAATAACACAAGAGCGTGGATGCCTACCAGCTATATTTAAAGAGAGAAATTCATCGCAACTTACCTATGATCCTGAGATCCAGCAGATGTGATCCATTCAAGTTCAAGCCCTCTCTTTTCCCTTTTTATAGACCTGACGATGGATTTGTTTATCAAAATTATTCACCAGGTAATAATGTGTCAAATTACTTCCTGATAGCATTCAAATGTGGTTAGACTTTGCCACTGCTGACTG